CAATGGAATATTACTCAGCCATAAGAAGAGATGAAATATTGCCATTTGCAACAATGATGGACCTCGAGATAATCATGCTAGGCGAAATAAGCCAGACAGAAAATATTGAAAATCACATGATATCATTTATGTGTGGGATATAAACCTAAAAGCAACAAATTAACAGGACAAACAAACAGAGACTCATAGACACAGGCAATAGACTAGTGGTCACCAGAGAGTAGTGGGGAGGAGCGGGGGAGGTAGACGAGGTAAAGGGGGTCAAATATAGGGGGGCAGGGGGAGGATGAAGTGGGTAAAGGGGATCAAATATATGGTAGCTGAAGGAAACTGGACTTTGGGTGGTAAACACACAATAGAATATACAGATGTCAAACTATAATGTACACCTGAAAATTATATAATTGCATTAACCAATGTTACCCCAATAAACTTAATTTAAAAAAAAAATAAAAATAAAAATAAAAAACTACCTGAAGACACTGGAAAGCAATTAAAAACAAACAAACAAAAAATTAGAGTCATTATTTGGAAGAAGGGAGTGGCACTGGATAAGTTTTCTTTTTTTGTTGTTTTTTGTTTGTTTGTTTTGTTTTTTTGCTGAGGGAAAGCCCTGGTCTCTAAAGCCACTCAGTTGCTTAATTGAAAGAGACAAATTCCTTGAAAAATACAGTTTACCAAAAGTGACACAAGATGAAACAGATCATCTGAACAACCCTATATTTTTTAAAGAAATTAGATTTAGTATCAAAAACATTATCAAAAACTTTCCCATAGAGAAAAATCCAAGTCCAGATGGTTCCATTTTCAAATTTTATCAAACATTTAAAGAAGAAATAATAACAGTAATACATAAATTTGTTCAGAAAATAGGGGAGGGAATACTCCCCATCTAATTTTTGTGAGTCTAGCTTTATCTTGATGGTAAAAATTGACAAAACTGTTAGAGAAAAGGAAAATTTCGAACCAGTATCTCTTATGGGCATAGAGACAAAAACCCTTAACAAAATTAGCAATATTTAAAAAAGATAATGCACCATGACCTAGGGGAGTGTACCCCGAGAGTGCAAAGTTGGTTCAATATTCATAAATCAATCAATGTATTCACCATGTTAACAGAATTAAAGGGAAAAACAACATGATTATTTCAGTAGATGCAGAAAAATTATTTGCACAATTTAACAATTTTATTTAGGGCTTTAAAAAACTCAGCAAATTAAAATTCCTCAACCTGATGAAGATCATGTATGACACATTTAATGATTACATATTGAATGCTTTTTCTTTATAATAGTGAACATACTAAGAATGTCTACGCACACCAATTTACTGATGTTTGCAATATTTTGAAATATATCAAAAATTTAAGAAAGAGTATTAGATGAATAAAAAGATGAATAGATAGAAACATGACAAAGAAAATATAGCAAATCATTAATTATCAACTCTAGGTGGTGGGCGTATGCATGTTCACTTTGTAATTTTTCAGCTTTTCATATACTTAAAAAGATTCACAATAAGATATTGGGGAAAAGGTCTGCAAAGTCCTACATTAAAGAAAGCTGTTTAACTTTGTTTAACTTTTGTGTTTCTCAAACTTCTTTTTTCAACAAAACAAAATAAAACCTCTAGGGAAAATGTAATAAACCCTGCAGAACATACTCTGGAAAATATTTCCTATTTAGATTTAGTCTACACTCATTTTGATTTTTAAAATAAGAATGGTGTACCACACCCACTGCTGCATGAACCTCACCCTCCCCCGCCTCGAAAAAAAAATCAGTGAGTTAAAATAACAATTTATTATTTCTCATGGTTCTGTGAGTTGACTGGAGCTCAGCCGGATAGTTCTGCTGATCTGCTTGGAATCTCTCATGCATCTTGCCTCAGTTGGGGCTGGAACATTCAAGAAGAATTCTCATCCTTCACAGTGTCTCTTCGGTTGGCCTTTAGGTAGTCTAGTCTAGACTTCCTCAACAGCATGATGGCTGGGCTCCAAGGGGAGGAAACGTAAATTGTGAGTTCTCTTAAGGTGTGGACAGAACCTCAGAATGTCACTTTTACATTCCAGAGTTTAGAGGAAGCCAAAAGGCTGGCCCAAATTCAAGGAAAGAGGGACTAGACTTCACCTCCTATTATGAAGAACACCATGAGCATGCAGGGAGAAGGGGTGCTGATGGTAGTCATCTTTGGAGATTATCCATTCCAGGAGAGATATGGTACCAAAAATTTCATTTAAAGCACAAGTTGTATGCCTTATTAAATATGTCTAAAATTTATAAATGAATAGATAGTTGTTTATCTTACAAAAGCAATTTTCGCTTTTAGATCACAGAGCTTTGTTCGTTAGGCAATAAGTTGCAAAGTGCACTGAAATGTTGATTTGAGTGTCTATTTTGACTGCTACTTACCAGCTGGGCAACTTGTGCAAACACTTAACCTCTCCGAACCTAAGTTCTCTTATTTGTAAAGTGAGACTAATGGTATTTAACTTGTTGAATTTTATTTAGGGCTAAAAAGGAGACAGATTTTCCACGATTCTTGAAGAGCAGTACCCAAGGGACCAGAACTGTAACCAAAGCATCCCTGAGGAATCCTCAACAGGATTGCACGGATTTTCATTCTAGCACCCGCTGTTAATTTGAGTTGGCCACCCTTTGCAAGACTGCTACACTGCCTACTTGTGCTTCCTAGCAGCAACTACTAATTCTTCCTCTCTACCATCAGTATTTTTTCTTTACCACATAGTTCTTGATTTCTCATTATTTCAGCCTGCCATGAATTATCATGACCCTGACTCATGGTCTAGCCCAGGGATTGGCAAACTTTGGCCTGTGAGCTAAATCTGGCTTGACACTGCTTTCGTAAGTAAAGCTTTATTGGAACACAGTCATACTTGTTCATTTACTATTGTCTGTGGCCTTTTTTAGCTACAAAGGCATCATTGAGTAGTTGCAACAGAAGCCGTGTGGTCCATGAAACCTATTTGGCTCTTTAGAGATAATTGCTTGATCCCTGATCTAGACTCTCCCTCATGGCTCCTGTTGCTAGGCATTCATTTAGCCTCTGTTCTCATTAACACATTCTTGAAGTATTTCTCAGTTCAAGTTCCTAGAAAGGGAAGAACCAAATTCCTCAGAAATCCTCATTCCTCAATCTGAAGTGAAGTTGGAAGACATTCTCTTTTCATGCCAGGCCATTTCATAGTGTGTGGGACAGCTATGGTAAGGCTATACACGTGCGACACGTTCTCTCCCACCCTCATCCAATTGGCTGTGGCTGAGATGTAGGTAATATGTAGTCAGTAAAACGGAGCTGCCTCGAAGGATCCAGGGCATACTGGGCACTAGAACGACTGCAAATTTAATTAAATGAGCTAATATATGTAAAATTATATGGTAATATACTTGAGCCATACATTTATAAAGTGTCAAAAGTACTTGCCAATTAAGATCAATCTGAAATGAAATACAGCATCCCTGAGGTTAATTATATAAATCAGTGACAATATATAATGTATCATAAAAATTCAAATCACATACAGTATTATAAATCTCTATGGAAGAAAAGGACATATCATATTATGGTATTATTGAAGGTACACAACATAAAATACCATTAACATTTCCTAGGAGACATAAAGTAGTTGAAAAAAGCCTAAATGAGCAGTTGAATTAAGATTGGATGAATACTGGTACTATTTAGATGCTAATAATCCTTTTTCTTACTTGGATGAAAAACCTCAACAGTTTGCCCATTACGAATTATGTACTTTCTCAAGGACAAGCTACTATTAACACAGAGTTCTGTAATAACCAGCACTTTTACTAGATTCTTCTTCCATGCTCTTCTGACTTAAACTGCACCTGCTTGGGTTGCCTACGTCTATGGCTGCCTTCTGCACTACAGAGTATGGCTCCAGTTCAGATCCTGTGTGGAGAACATCATGACAGTTCTGAAACAGTCCTCTAATCCTTCTAGCAATATAAAAGGTACAGTACTCCGATTATACTTTAGAGAGAAATCTGACAGCATTTTTGATAAAGAAACTTAAAACAGAATTTCCATGGGAAAGAGACTTTCAGAACACCTTCTAGCCTAAACAAATTGATAACACACACAAATAGCTTCCAAAATAACTTTTATTACTATATAAAAACAAATCGAGAAAAAATAGATGTGTATTTTTCTACAAAATTATAAAATATCAGGCAATTTAATATTTTTCCATAAACGTGCTAAGGTAAAAATACAGATTCGAACATAGAAATATTTTCCAATAAAAGTTTTCAGGTACTTAGTAGGTGATAAAGAATAATAGTTTTCTTTCTTCTATACTTTCCTATGTGTAGCTGTAAGACATAGAAGTTACAGTTTTCTAATGGAATTATCTAAAAAAGAGCGCATCAAGATAAAAATTCATATTGCAATAAAATTAGCATAAAGCTCTACTTCTTTGAGCTTTTAGATTTGGCAGTTGTGGTCAACCAGTATTACACTGAAATTTCCAACTCAGCAGGGAAAAGAGCCTAATTAGAAACAAGACATCCTCTTTTTTTGGTCCTTTAGAAAACAGAAACCACTTGTCATTATCTCTTAAAAAGTGCAATTGCCTTCTTTGTCATTTGATTGTAAGGTCTGAGATGCTGTTTACAATCATCGAGGCTTAAGTGAAACTACACAAGGAAAGAAAAGAAAGCACTCTGAAGGGGAGATTCGGTTTAACACAAGGAGAACAGGAAGCTGTACACTTTTGATAACATTATATCAAAAAGTATATTCATTTCAGTTTCTCAATAAACCCTTCGAGAGAAAAGCTTCAGTGTTGCTGTAGATGAGTGTTAAAATAAAGCTATTTCTTTTCTAAAATTAGATTATGGGGTAAGCCAAGCCAGACTATCTCTGCAGGTGATATAAGCTATAATTACTTGTGGAGATTTCAATCACTGTTTTGGAATTGATACCTAAGGCTTTCTTCTTCTCTATTCTTCCTGTGAGCTTTTTAATGAGATATTTCTGGGGAAGATGCTTTGGGTAGGAAATATCAGCTTTTGAAAGATAAGGGTACAATTATCATTAGAATTAAAAGCCCATTAAAAGAAGAGCCTCAAACAGAAAGCTTTTCTAGATATATTTTACTATGCATTGTTTTCATAAAGGCTGAGAAAGAAAAGAAGTTCTTATAATATCTGTAAGATTACCCCCACATTAGCCCCAAGAAAGATAAAATAAAGCCGAGAGGAGGAGGTGCTCAATTACTTTGCAATGGAGCAGAATATTCCAGCACCAAATCCATAATTAACTTTTCATTAATAACTTCTATCTTGGCCTATATAAAATGGAATGGCAGCTTCAATTCTTGAGGTTGTCACTGACCCCTCCCCCCAAAAAACTCCTGAAATTTTGTGCACCTCCATGTAAAGAAACATCCATTTATCAAAATATGTTTGTGTGTGACAATACAATTCCTCCTACTTAGCATCAAAATTGTATGTAGCATGCTCTACTCATATTAAATTTAATTGTGCCTCCTATGTGCCAGGCACTGAGCCAGGCACTAGCAGTACTTCTAACATTATTACCAGTTTTGGAAATAGAATTATATAAGAAGAAAACAGTGTTTGGCGATGGAATGTTGAATGATTAAACATGAAGCTTAAGGGATGTGATGGAGTGTATTTCATAGTTAATCTATGGAAGTGATTACCAGGTATCCAAAAAGGAAATCCAATAAGCACCAAAAATGTCAAGTGCATTTTAGTGTAAACTGTAAGGTTTTTATCCATATTCAAATGCTCCAGTTAAAAATTACAGGGAAACCAAAAATCAACTCCCAAATGAAAAGCATCATTTCAGCATAGGCGCCATTCCGGATTTTAATTTAAGTCAGAGCCTAACAGAGATCTCTATGCATGAAAGTTGTCACCTCTGAGTCTCAATTCACTACTGAGAATCTAAAGCTCAAGATATCTCCTAATATTCCACCCAGATCTGGAAGGACCCTAGCTACTGCCCCTAGGAAGGGCCCACCATGAGGCAATTCTCTTCTATCCTCAAACCCAGAATTGTTCAGCAGCTAAGATCCTGAAGAATAAAACTCGTAATCTTGAAATCGTAATCTTGATTAATCTTGAAAGCCACAGATGTTCTTGCCCACAGCTTTCTTTGTCACCAAGACACAATTTTAAGAACAAAGAGGCATCAAGGTAGGCCATGGCTTGCTGGCAGTGGATGGGTGCCCGTAATATACTCTATTCCCAGGCAGGGGTGGGCCCTTTTCCTTGGCTGTTTGAGGAATTTGCCTTGGGAAAGAGAGGCAGAAGGTAAACTTTAACAACTCTACTGCACTCCAGCAACTGAAATTTATTCAGGGGTGGTCAAAGTGGTGCAAATTAGTGTAAAGCAGAAAAAAAAAAAAGCATAGTGAAGTGGTTAGAATTATGGACTGAGGAGCCAGACTGCCAGGTTTTGAATCTCGGTTCCCCCACTTGTGAGCTGGGGCAAGTTATTAACCTCTGCAAACTTCACAGCTCTTATCTGGAGATAATAATAATACCTACCTCCTAAGGTTTGTCTGGGGATTGGATTAGCTAATATTCATAAAGTGCTTAGAATCGTGTCTGGCACATACTAAGGGCAATGCAAGTACCTTTTAAACGGTAAAAACAGAAACTTGAGAAAAAGTGCTCTCCAAGGTCTGTAAAACAGTTTATGCTGCTTAACAACTCGGGCGTATTCTCTTTCTAATTAGGTTTGGAATTTGGATCATAAAGTACACCAGACTCCAGAGAAGCCTTGAGATTAAGCTGAGTTTTAGAAAAACTTCCAGGGCTGCCAGTTTATCAAATTTACCAACCAATAAGCACATTTTGAACATTTGTTCTATGCAAGGCACTATGCTAAATGCTTTGGTGCTCATCAAGAGGTAACATAATCACAATTTATAGTTGCTCTCATTTACATCAACCATCTCCTTTCCAAATCAGGTAAATTTATAGGCCTCGATCAGTATAAACTCTTTCAAGAAATTCCACCTTATGATTAAAACAAATATTGACTCTGTGGAGCTCAATTATCTTACATGGCTAAATAGGAGAAGCTAAAACCGTAAAGTTAGTTTTTAAAAGTGAAGTTACACGGCTCCACTTCTACAGCATTTTACATGGTGGATCTCTGACCAGCTTCATCAACGGTGATGTTTCTTTTCCTTGCGGCAGCTTCATTGTTTAAGTCTGAATCTGATTTGTCCACGTTGCCAAAGTTTATTGCCATGGAGCCTTCCACTCCCTCTGGATTGCTTCTGTTTGGCTGAAGGATAGAATTTGTTTCCTGAGGACGCTTCCATTGTGGCCTGGTGACTATCCAAAAAATGAGGGCTCCAAACACCAGAACCAGAAGGCCGAGGGTATTCGTGAAAACACCTTCCGGTGGTAATGTACTGTAGGTAGAGCTTTAAAAAAAAAAAAAGAGTGTCCAATTACATATAAGGCCATGCCAAACAATCTTGAATTTATCTTCTCAAAATGCACACTGGTACAGCTTCAACGTAAATTCCTTTAAAGCTTGATATCAGACAGAAATTCATGTTATAATTCACCCAATGAGATAGCACAAAATTGTTAAAAATCATTAGTATGAAAATAATATAGCATCTGGAACACCTAGATCACTTAAAAATTGAAAACAAGGATGATACAAAAATGTATATACACCAGAATTACAATTAATAAAACATGCATATCAAAAAGATTAGAAGGGCATGCAAAACTTCAATAGTTGTTTTAAAAGTAGTACAATTTGTTGGACTTTTAGTCCTTCTCCAAGCATTTAGTAATGTTATAGTACATGTATAATATAATAATTTTTAAAGAATATTTAAAGGTTTTCATTTTTAACATTTAAAAAATTTTGTTATATTTTTATCACCATATTCCAATGAACAAGTATTTAACATTTTATAGCTTAAATATTACAGTTAGGAAAACTATGTAACTTACAGGGAAAATATCAGTTTCTCAGTCACTCCCGTAAGTACTGTTGCAATCACTGTTCCAAAGATGAAAAGTCCGGAATAAACATGTATGGGCATGAGGAATGCTCGGAGAGACGGTGGAGCAAAAGGAAGCAGAAAGACGAGAAAACCTAGGACAAGCTAAATATCAAAAAGTACAAAGTTTATCATTTAAGTTTTAACTACGGTAATTTAAAAATGATTATTTTAAAAGAAATACGTGCAAATGAGAAAACATTTCATATCGAACCAAGGGCATAAAATGAAAAGTAAGTTTCCCTCCAGTTCGACTACTCAAAGATAACACCTCTCATCTCTTTCTCAAATACCCTTCCGGGAAATTTCTAAGCCCATATCAACGTGGCTGTGTGTGTATAAGGAAAGAGTTTTCTTTTAAGTATAAATGGGATCTTACTATACATACCTGTTCTGCATGTTGCATCTTTTCCCTTAATAGTAGAGCTTGGAGATCTTTTTCATATCAACACATGCCTATCTAATTTATTCTTTTCAATAGTTAGTATTCCATTTTAAGTATTTAATTGTCTATTTATGGAGGATCCTGTTTCCAGTTTTTTTGCTATCACTAAAAAGGATGCAGTGAACAGTTTAGTACTAACATAAAAAACAAAAACAAAAACAGTTTCCTTAAGGTTGCCAAGTGGGAAGAGACGTAAAAGATTTTTAAGTCACTAAAACCGAATACAATGGGACACATTCAGTCAGGTCAGCCTGAAAAACTATGTAGAAAAAAGTTGACAATTTTGTTTTATGAGGAAGAAATGAGTTCTGCAGAAAAGTTACCTCCATTTCCTTGATAATTCAATCCCTAGTAGAATACTTCTCTGCAGAGAAGCCAGAAAGATTCCTATGTGAACTGAAAGATTCATATTTTCATTTTGTTGTCCCACAACCCTTGCCGGTTAAATAGTCCCTTCTCCTCAAGAAAATAAAGATGACTTAGTGAGTTACTGAGCTGAGTTATTGAGTTTAAAGGAGCATTTTTTTTTCAGGTACTTATTTAGGATCCACTACCCTACGAGAAGAGAGGATAATGGGTAACATCACTGTTCATCTTTCCTGGTTGAGATCAAAGGGCTAATGGGACTTATCAGAAACATGGCGGCGTCTGAGAGCCTAAAGCACACCTAGAATCAGCTGATAGGCAAAGGCAATGAATGGAGAGTAATCAAAAGTGAATTTGATAGGCTGGTTTGCATATTGTATTGCCCACTTAATACCACAAATGCCCAAATATATTAGAAATTATACAGAGGGTCCCCCCTTGGTAGCTCATAATGCTCCTAATACTCCTTCAGTGAACTTTGGTGATTCTACTAGTATCAAAGGGCATATTTCCTGACACACAGGCTGTGCTTTCTCTGCAAAAATGTGGCTCAGGTAAGTGACTACCAAGGATTTAGCATGAATATATTTCTGTGGTAAGTCATTATATCTTGTCTGTGACTTCCCCACAGATATATAATTTTTTTCCATTTTCCTGTTCTCCTTCCTCTTTTCATTCCTAAGAATTTTACTGTTGTTTTGTTTTTTAATTTCTTTCAGCATTTATCAAGTTTTATTTTGTTGCCCCATACCCCCTGCCCATTAAGTATTCTCTTTCTCTTAAGAAAATAAAGATAACTTAGTGGCCAATGTATTATTGAATTTAATGGAAACTTTTGTTTCAGGTACCTATTTATTAAGTGTGTCTCTTATAATCCAAGGATTCAATGATCTAAGCAAGTGGAACATCTGAAATTTGCTTATAGGATCCCAGGGCAATTTAACTTCCTTAAATCTTACTTTCACCACTAAAACTTCTTTTTCAACAAAAGAAAATTACTTTTAAAAGGAAAGGAAAACAATTATAGAATGCTTAACTTTAAAATGTTCCAAATTATGCCAACTTATAATTTGTAGTATTCATTCTTTATTTCCTTTTAACCATCTTAGCCTTACCATCAGACATGTGGATATAGTAACTTAAACACAGTGGACCGAAAATTACAAAATCCTTTTGTGCCTTTAAGTCAGTGGTTCTTGAAGTGTTGTTCATAGAAAACATGCATCAGAAACACTTCAGGTGTTTATTTAAAGATAACCCTGGGCCATATCCAGATCTGCTAAACCAGAATTTCTGGAAGTAGGGCCCAGGAATCTGCATTTTAACAAAATGCCAAGGTGATTCTCATGCATGTTGATGTTTGAAGACCACTGCTTTTGATTCACTCACATTATGTCAAAGATATGGGTTAACTGCACTCTGGAAAATCCCTAAAAGAGAAAACAGTGGAATCGTCCATCACCTTAAGTCTACAGATACTTACTATGTGCCAACTATGTGCAAAGTGTTCCCATGTTTAGGAACAGTCATCTACAGAAAGCTGTTCTTCACCATGATGTAGTCCTTAGCAGAGCTAAAGAAAAAATCGCATGAAAAGGTATCTAGATGTGAAAGTGAAAATGTGGTATGATACTAATTACGCTTAAAATTAAATATATATGCACACATATATAGGCATAATAAAAGGGTAAAGGAAATAAACTAAAATATGATATCTCTAGATTATGGTCTTATCAGTGATTTTTGTTTTTTCTTTATATTTTCTGTATTTTATAAATTTTAAAATTAATATATATTACTTCTATAATTAGAAACAGATAATAGAGATTTGCTTTTAAAGTTACTGTCTTAAATATCTGGGCTTTTCTTAGTTAATTATTACTGTCCTTTAAAGACAAAAGTGTATTTTGCTATGCTAGTTTTATCTCACTTTCTAAAACAGATTTTTTTTTTAAAGATATGTGTAAACTTTTAGACATAACAAAAGCTTTTATTTGCAAAAATCATTAATGAGATCAGAAAATAAGTGCTTAACAAGCTTTTGTATTAGGAATGGTCTGCTTTTTTTTTTTTTAAGCGTAGAAGTAGATTTAATGAATGATCAAGTGATTTACAGATAATAAGGAGGCTCCTTCTAGCTCCGCTTCACCTTTCTTCTATTTTGTATATTCACTCATTCCTTCATTTAAAGCATATATTGTTGGGGTCTATCCCCAGAGTTTGATTCAGTGGGTCTAGACTGGAACCTGAGAATCTGTATTTCTAATTTCCCTAGTGATACAAATGCTGCTGTTGCAAGCACCACACTTTGAGAAGCTCAGTCTTAGGTCATTTCCATGTTGCGTTCTTTAGACATAACAGCACTTTTCTTCCAGAGATAAAAAAAAACTTCTAATGAGTACCAACTAGACTTTGTCCACAGTTTTTTAGAAAGAGGGATGCCAGACATTCAAATTGGACACTAAGTCTCCTGTCAATAACCCACATCCACTTTCTGCACTGTCTTTCATCACATGAACAAGGCAATACCCCAACCCTGGCTCAGCCATCTTCAGGTCTACCCCTGATCTATGAGGTACTACTGGAGCAAATCACACAGTTAAGGAAACTAGCATCACTATAAATTCATTATTATGATGCTCACTGTTATGAATACTTCGGTGTTGCTCAATAATCCTTCTATTATCTGATTTGTCAACTGCTCCTCCAGGCTCCCCCAGCCTCAAACTTATGGCTGTCTTGTGTTTCCCTCCTCACTCTTGGCAGATGATTTTACTACCACCTCATGAAAAAAATAGGCAACTTCATAGAAGAGTCTCAATTTTCTCCCACCAAACCAAAAAATCATCCCAAGCCAAAAACTCCTTCCTTTCTTCAATTATAATAGAACTGGTATTCAATTTTCCAGCCGTGCTCTGCGACCTGCTTCCTAAAAACCTAATTATAGATTATTGCATCTTTCCAGTAATCACAACCTTTCCTTCTCTACTGGTGCCATCCAGTGAGCATTTTAACATGCCCCAAATTCTCATTTTCATTTAACGAAGAAAAGAAGTAAAAAAGGAAAAAGAAAAGAAAGCACCCAAACACCTGCTTTTACTGCATCCCTGTCCAATTACACCTCTCTCTTCCCCTTCTTACCCAAACCTCTTGATTAAGTTGTCTATTTTCTCACCTTCCACTCCTTCTTCAATCTATTGAAATCTGGCTTCCGCCTCACAGGGAAACAGCTCTCTAGAGTCATGAGTGACTTCCAGATTACTAAATCCAATGGGCAGTTTTGAGACCTTATTTTCCGTGGCTTTTCAGTAGCATCTGACAGTCCTCGATCCCTCTTCTCCCCCTTTAATGTTTCCTCTCTCAAGCCTGCAAATGACCCTTCCTCTCATCCTGTATATCACTGACTTTCCAAATCTCATTAATTCTATCTCCTAAATATCTTTAGAAACTATCCACTTTCCCCACTGCTACTGCTACTCCAGTATTTCTCATCTGAACCTCTGTAAACACCTTCGAGCTCATCTCCCTATATTTACTCTTGATATAGAGAAGAGGTAGGAGAACTAAATACTGAATCAAATTGTATGCAGAGCCTACATGTGCTGCCAGACCACTAGAAACTTACAGAACAAAGGAGATTCCTGCAGGGATTACTAACAAACCATTTACCCACACCATGAAAGGAAAACAGTCTTTAAATACTACCTTAAACAAAATAAACCCAACCATTTATCACCTATGGCCAGACCATGGGGAACCTATAGAACAAAGGCTGAGATTTCTAGCATGCCTTTAACTGCTGCATACCCATATCTTTCACGCTGAATACCCAAAGCATAAAAGGAAAACAGATAAACAAAGCCTTTAAACAGTAATTCAGAGAAACTAAGGATGACATATCAACTGAATTCCTGAACACCTGGAGTCCCTCCTATTCCCTGTCTATCATTCCCCGTCTTTCAGAGGAGATCATGCTGTCTGTGGAGCATTATTCCTTCTCTAACTCTGGTGTGCACTTTCTTTTTGTCTCTAACTCTGGTGTGCACTTGAATTCTTTCCTGTGAGCAGTCAAGGACCCTCTTCTCTCTCAAAGTAGGACTCGAGTCCCCACTTGGGGGAATTCGCCGCATCCTGCGTTACTACTGTCCAGCCTCCAATTCATCTTCCACACCACATTCTGGGCAGCCTGATCTCCTTCTTGCTCCTCAAATATTGCGAACTTTTATCTACATACTATTTCATCCACCTAGAATACTTTCTCCCATTTCACCAGCAAGCTCATGGCTTCAAATCT